CCCCCGGTGCTGACAACCCACACTACGCCACTGCCTGCCCAGAACTCTCATTCTGGATTAGCTAGTAAAGCTGCTAGAGATAGATCTAAACTTCCAGCAGCTACTTTAGCCTAAATGTCTTAAATGTCTCTGTATGTGCTGAAAATCCTACGGAAACATTGCACACACAGCCTCTTTGATGCTTGAAGTAATCATTTAAAAATGTATTTAATTTTGTATTTATTACAACTGTGCACAGTGAAAAAAAAAATAGTTTTGACCATACTGAGGAAAAAAACAAAAAAATTTGAGAAGATCAAATTATAGCCCTATGGCGGTGTAGCTTGTTCAAATTTTGTTAAAAAAAGATACAGGAAAACAAATCAGACAAACCAAAAAGGCACAAAAAAAAAAAAAAAAATCATCGCTAAATCAGTGTACTGCAAGAAATACACCTATCAGCCACAACATATAAACCACCTGCTTAATACAGTGTAGATACCCCTCATGCTGCCAAAACAGCTCTAATGTGTTGAGGCACAGACTCCATAAGACCTCTGAATATGTCTTGTGGGATCTGGCATCAACACATTAGCAGCAGATCCTTTAGGTCCTGCAAGTTATGAGGTGGGACCTCTATGGATCGGATTTGTTGTTCCAGCATATCACATAGATACTCAGTCTGATTGAAATCTGGGTTATTTAGAGGCCAAGGCAACACCTTGAGCTCTTTGTCGTGTTCCTCAACCATTCCTGAACAGTATTTTCAGTGTTGCAGGGTGTATTATCCTGTTGAAAGAGGCCACTGTCATCAGGGAGCACCATTGCCATGAAGGGGCATACTGTCTGGATTACTGTTGATCCAGCACGCAGAATCGTATCACACCTAGGACTAAGGATAACGTTTAACCAGACCTTAGAATGGCTGGACTTAAAGTACCTGAGAATAGTCAAAATACTTGTCAGGGACACAGAAAGAGCCACAACGATGGAGAAAGCCAAAAGTCAAGGATACCAGAAATCAAGGAAGTCAAAACTAAGTCAAAGTCAAATATCAGAAAAAACACAATCAGGAACACACCTCTTGGATAACCAGCTACTGAAAACCCTGACAGGGCACTGATAAAAAGTTAATTTAGGTTTAAATAGCCCTCCTTAGGCTGTAATTGGCCATCTCTGACACCAAAAGGTGCATGCGCATCTATGACGTGACATTGAACGCACTTTGGCGCCATATTTGATGTGGGCAAAGGTAAGTTTCTTATAAAAGCCCGAACCTCAGCGGCCGACATTCCTAAGAACGTCACACCCGCTGGGGACCGGAACAGAGGTCAGGCAACTGCCTGCCGGGGCCAAGGTAAGTCTGAAACAAGGTATCTGCACTCATAACGCTTTAACCCTTGTATCACAACTCAACTTTGAATTCTATATGTAGTCTTGCTCAGAAATGCTTTAGACTTGAGAAAGGGAGGTTCATATTATTAAAAAATAATTTTAGTCCAATAAAAAAGGTATTACAAGATACACATTTTATCTGTTTTTAACATCTACATCAATAGACTAATATGGCCTCAATCTCTAGTTCAGGGGTCCTCAAACTGCGCCCCCCCCCCCCCAGATGTTGCTGAACTACAACTCCCATGATTCTGTGAATTACATAGATAGCCAGAGAATCATGGGAGTTGTAGTTCAGCAAGATCTGGGGGGCCGGAGTTTGAAGACCCCTGCTCTAGTTGAACACTATATATATATATATATATATATATACACACACACACGCGTAGATTGGATTAGCCGTATTATGGCTGCAATAATCTAGTATTTTGGCATTTTATATATATATATATATATATATATATATATATATATATATATATATATATATATATATATATATATATATATATATATATATATATATATATATATATATATATATATATATATATATATATATAAAAATTCTGGAATTACACGGACAGGCGCATTTTCCCACCTTTTTGCTTCATCTGATTCATTTTCCTCAATCTGTTACAAGCACTTTGTAACAAAACAATTTTCCAAGTCTAGTATTTTTATTGATGACAAGTCCCTGTTAATTTTAGAGACAAAATTACTATAACATTACATGTGAAAAAACTAAATAATATCACTTAGCTAATTAAAATAGTACATAAAATATGTCCACAGATTTATAAAACATATCACCCCATGGGCAAGTAGTAAGAAACTGCAATACATGAAAATACCTAGTTATCATAAAGTCTAGATTTCTCTGAATTGTATTTTAGTGTATAATGTTACTGATGAAAGTTTTCATCAAAATGATCTATCACCCAGTCTGGTTTCATCCTACCTGCTAAAACATCAGATGGTATGAACCCTTATCAATTCAGATGTAAAGAAAATCAGTCATTCTACAAGTATTTCTATAAAATACTATCTCAGGGGTCCTAGCTGCATTGCCTGACATCGAAGTATATGTTTGTTTTCCAAAAATATGTTGTAGTATGTAATTTTATTACAGTTTTTATCCAAACCAACCTGTCCATCCCTCCATCCATCTATCCATCAATCCAATGTTCTAAGATTTGTTTTTGGTGTACACTATAATTATTAGTGATAGTGTTAGGTCAATTATTGTGCCCTGTGGTTGTGCTTCTTTTCATTTGACTGACTGGATTCTGATTTTTATTAGATAAATAACACTTCTCTTCCTCTGCCATCAATATTATCAACTTTTTGACAAATAATCATCTCTGGGGCATTAGTTCTAAGCATCTCCACTAATCTTCATCTTTTGAAGTGTCCAAAGGATTATGTCAATAACAGTGACCTTTCACCTTTGAAGAGAAGGTAGCAATATGTTACAATAGCAGATTCTTTAAGGATTTTAAAAGCCTAGGAGGGATTTAAATTCGCTCAAGTTATCAGCCTATGTCTATTGCAAATAGGATGTGAAAACCATTGTGTCGTGAGTAAAAAGATTTACATTGTAACATCATGAGAAATATTGCAAAAGGTTGTTTTGTTTTTTTTGAAACATTGGATCATTAGTAAAATATTCAATAAAAAACAAAAATAATATATTACACCAGACCTAGGGGCAGGAACACTAAAACGTTAGAAATACAAATGTGTATTCCTAAAACACTTTAGTGTTCCTTTAATATATACTACACTTGTATTCTGTATTACCTGTGCTGCACATTTGCACTATCGGCACAACCACAATTAGCACAAAAATCTCCAAAGTGACAGTTCCTCTTGAGTACTGCATCCATTTTTTTTAAAACACCTCTTTGCTATATTTGATTGTCCCCTAGTGACCCACTAATGCACCCAGGCCCTCCTTTTCATCTTTTCTTAACTCTTTATTGTCCAGATCTAGGCGGCCATAGGCGCTGCCATCTTAGTGAAGGCAGATGAAGGCCCTGTGGGACATTTAATATGCCCACACTAAATAGCACTGTGAAATTTCTGTGCATGCCCAATTCAACACTTGGGAATTCGCTATTGTCTGAAATTTGGAAGGGAATTTCGGATATTCATTCGTCATAAAGACGAATAAATGATTAGAAATGACAAAGAGCGAATGAAGATTGAATTTTAATTTGATGCTCGTTCGTTTAGTTTATTACAAGGAGGGAGCTCCTTCTTTGTAATATTTAAAAATAGATGAAGATGTGGGAGATATGCTCCCTGCAACTTCCTAAACTCCCTATTTCCTCCTAACTTTATGGGGGTCAATATGATCCCCATTTTAGTATATGGGTGTGCTCCTACTCACTCTGCCGCAATTAGGGTTGTGTCTACTAAACATCATGCACAGGTGATGTCATAAAAATGCAGGAGAATATGCACTGGAAATGACACTGTATATCTCATCATAATAAATAAGGGTGAGTTGAGAACAAGCAACATTCAAATTGACACCAGAATCAAGTGAGATGGCTGGCATGTGATTGTGTACACTGTAACTGTCGCTAGATATAAATATGGGAAGTCTGCATTAATAATGACTCAAGGAGGATGAGCCAATGTGACAGGAGCCGTGATACAAATCAAGATATTTTTATTATCTTTGAAAAAAATGCCTCATTCTCCAGCTATAGACTGCTCAAACATTCTTAGTCTGGTTTAACAGGATTTAGCAAATCTCCCTATTAGGGATGTGCATGGGCAAAAAATTCAGGACTTCGGTTCAGCACATCCGAAATTCGGATCTTCCCAAAGCCCAAGCCCAACCCTACTAGGGTTAGGGGATGGGGTTAGGTTTAAAGGTAGGGTTAGATTCCTGTTATCATTCCATTAATTTTCCCTCCCTCTCCTGTTTTGCCACTTTTCAGAAATCCAAAGCACTTCGGCACTTCCAAAATTCAGCACTTCAGCAATTCGGACATTCAGTGAATTGCCAAAATTCATCCAAATTTAAATTCAAACAAATTGCACATGTCTACTCCCTATGGCTTTACATGAACATCAACATTCAGATCATGGATGTCCAAGATAATGAATCTGCATATTGTTCTTCCTTCAGTAACAGCATTAGACCTCTTTAAAATGTGTGTATTTTTTTCTTACTATTATAGCTTACTTGTGATGAACAGAGAATTTTTCCAGTTCAGCTATTTTGACCTTATATTTGATAATTCAAGGTGAATTCAAAGTGAATTTCACTTTAGTGACTAACCCTTTGGAGTGAGAATTGTTGGTAATTAAAAGTGAATTTCAAATTTTAGACTAAAATAGCTGAACTGCAAGCATAGCTTACTTGTATAATTTTTCAAATTCAGCTATTTTGGTCAAAAATGTGCAATTCAATTTTAATTCCCAGTTTGTGTCTGTTCTGTATGTTTAGTACTCCATGCTACAGCAGCAGGAATGGCATGGTAGTAAATGGCACTTTAGCTGTGATGATAGAAAATTTCAAAGAGAGAAATACAGACCATACTCATGCAGTGTGAATATGTATTTACACACATATCTATCTATCTATATATATATATATATATATACAC